AAGAACACAATTAAGCATGTAACTCTGCCTAAAATGCAGTGGGATTAAAAAACAGAAACTCTAATTTTTGAGAGGGAGTTTATTCTTCATAAAATTGGCTGTTCATCCCAGCCTGAATGATCATGTTATCAGTGACTACATAACATGTCTTAGAGTGAGTTAAAATGTATTAAATCCAATTCTTTCAGCTTGTGGACATGTCCTTGTATGGGAGGATGTACCATTTTTCCTTTATAAAGATTTATTCTCAAGTAATTGCTGTTATCTGCGTGTTTGTATGCTTACGGAATTTTGCATGCCTGCAAGACCTGTTTTTATGTAACCTATTTTGTTTTATGATCCTGGGCTATATTGCAGACTCATTTCTGATATCCTTTGGTAATCTTCCCAAAAAGTCAAATTCAGTAGGAATAATTCATTAGCACTATGACTATGGTGATAAATGAGATGTCAAGAAGAAGCACATTCTGCTTTAGGACACTTGCATATTTTTGAGGAAGTAATTTCTGCTTGAGCTACTGTAGTATGGCTAGTAACAGGCCAGTGAAATAGGGCAGTGTGAAACTGGAGCATAATAGGCCCATTTCTTTGCCTTTCCAGTGTCCTCAGCTGTGTAGTTGCAAAGGCACCATCTAGTTTGTTCAGTTGCCTGCTGCTTGTATACGGGGGGAGACTGTTTCAGCCAAATGATGCATGACATTTAGAGCATAACGGAATGAGCTGGTATCACATCCTTCAACATGTACTAGCCAGCCAAGCTGTAGCTGAAGAGGAAAAGCTCCCCACCCCCACCCTCACCCCCTGTTATAGCTGCTGGGTAGAAAGAACAAGATTAGGCTGAGCATGAAAGAGCAGGCTGGGGAAGAAGGAAAGGCCTTACCCACAATCTCCTCAACCTTCACAGTGCTTCTGGTTAGTCTGAACATGGTACTTCAGTATAACAGGTGCATCCTGCAATACAAATTATGAATATTTTGCTGTATGGTAGATCTGAGTCAGTGTAAAATTGTACACTTCATGTCTCTTATTAATATATGCAGAAGAAAATATGTATCTCAACTGAATCATGCATGCACTGCTGGGTATTGTATCATAGGCTGAAAATAGATGCTTTCTCTTTTTGTGGGTCGCCGCACCCCTGGCCCTGTGTGCGAGACTGGGTAATGGCGGCAGGAGGGCAGCTGAGCTTGGTGCCCGAGGTGGAGTTGGACCCCGACGGCACTTTCAAATACATCCTGGTCTGGGTGCAGCGGGGTGCTGATGAGCACTGTGACATCTTGAAGGGCACTGCAGCCGCCAAGTTCCATAATCACATATTTCAAAAAGTATTGTATCATAGGGTAGTATACAATATACAAAGATCTATTGTTTGCTTGTTTGTTTGTTTTATTCAACTCGATTCCAGATGATTCTGGTCAGCCCACAATACACCAAACAGTATAAAAACAATATAATAAGAAACAACAAAAGCAAATTAGAACAGAAGAAAGAGAAATAAGAACAACATGGCAAGCCTGATGAACACCACAAAATATGATATCTAACATTCAATAAAGGGGGCTCCAGTACCCTAACTCAAATCCTGGAAGAACAGCCAGGTCTTTATGGTCCTCTGGAACACCAACAGAGTTTTTTGTGTGCTTTTATAGTTTTTTATTTCTAATTGTTTTTATGTATTTATTCTTTTTAATTGTGTATACCACCCAGAGTCACTTTGTGTGAGATGGGCAGCTATATAAATACAATAAATAAATACATACCACATGGATCTCAGGTGGAACCTCATTCCAGAGGCCAGGTGCTGCAACAGAGAAGGTGTGTTTCCTGGGTCCTGATAGATAACGTTGTTTAATCAAAGGAACCAATAGTGTGCCAAAATTGTCATTTTGAATAATTTCATTCAGTACGGTAATATCCTAATCAGTAGTGGACTATATGTACAGTAGGTATTCATTGAGTGAGAAACAATCTCAGAAATGGATTTGGCCACATGATCACATCATGCAGTTGCATGCAGTTACCTCACAAGAAAGTAGCCATGCTGGCCTAGCTGTCTTCAAGAAGACTACAGAATGTGAAACAGTATGGGAGCAACCATGGAGAAAGCAACTGTACCCTGGTTATTTTAATTCAATCCGTTTTATTTATGGCAACAGGAATATTCATATTGATCCCATAGTCTGAAATCTGAGCTGAGATTGCATTTTGCTTTTTATAGGACTGAATGCTCCTTGCAAATGATTCCTCTGCACAGAAAGCCAGATGTTGAGAGAAGAATGCCAGCCTAACTAATGATTTGATAGGCTGGCTAGGAATTCTGGGATGTTACCCCAACTTACCTGGAAAGCACAGATTGCAAAACACTGATCAAGGCCATCAAAAGTTCTTCCCTCACTGGAGATCATCCAGAGAGAACTATAGACAAAGAGTATGTTGGATCTTTGACGGCCAGCAAGGACCAGGCAGGCAGTCCAAGGTTATATTTACATTTATGCTATGGGTCCCGAGGGGGCAAGCAGATACCAGTTTCTTGAAGTTGGAGATGTTTTCAGTTTCTGCTTACCAATGAATAGAACAGATCCTTATGAGAAAAACCTCCCCAAAACACGCCAGTATAAAGCAAATTAATTATAAACTGTAGGATGACCACAGGATTCATTTTTTCAGCCTTCAATTATATACTATTTTATTAGTCACAAAAGCCAAATTTAAAGAATGTTTAGGGTTTTTAAATAAAAATGCTGTGTAAGTGCAAGACAAAAGATTAAAACTGTATGAGCGAAACAATGTGGGAAAACTCAGGTTTGTTTTGGATTAAATATTCTTTGGATGTTTTCCTTATAAGGCTGAATTTAAAAATTGATCTTTATCTTCCATCACCAGACATGAAATGAAAATAGAGAAAGAACTGAATCAATTTTTCTGATTGATCAAAGTTGTTGTAAAAACTTTATTTTTTAAACCAAAAAATGGTTTAATAAGATAAAAATCAATGTAGTCACATTATATAACACGGATTTTGTCAGCAGTAACATTAATTAAAGCATAGTCAGACCTGGATTCAGAAGCAAAAAAGTTAAACACTTTTTTTTGGCTTTGCCAGTTTGGAGCCAGCTAAAGCGTAAAAGATAATAGTCATTATTTCCTCAGCTTATTTTTTCTTTCTCTGTTTTCAAGTTTAAAGCTGAAGGGTGAATTTACACCAAATCACATTGGTTTATTTGTGCCCAAGAGAGATGTCCTATCTGTACAAGAGCCAGTTGAGCATCACATTAGATTTGATATATAAGTGCACTTGTGGATCTATATGACAGATAACCTAGGTTGCTTGTTTACATTGTTGTGCTATGCACTAAACCTCGAATGGTGTTAGTGTACAATCCACCCTAACTAGTTTTTGTAATGCAACCATCCTCGTGCTGAGACAAGAGCCCCCCACCAAAAAAAAAAAAAAAAA